TGTGTAGATTCCACTGCGCCTCACACGCAATTGCACAGCTTCACGCGGCGCGGCCAACTGGAGCACATATTAGCTTCTGTACCTGCGGCCGCATCCCCGCCGCGCAGCCACCAACTTGCGAACTGTGCACCTCACCGACGGCGCAGTAGCATCCCCCACGCACAACCCCGCGCACGGCTCCCGCAAGTCCCGCGCAATGGGGCACAGCAACACGCAAAAGTGCACGCAAGTGCTGCACTGCATAGTGACAGACGGCCCGATAGCACCCTCACCGAACGCATAGCTCACACAACTGGACCCCGCGCCACACAGAACACCCCGCAAGCCCTGCACTAAGCCCCCGCATCGCGCCACGCCCGCATGCACAACGCGACGCAAGGCCTCCGCTCCGCCACCGCAAGAACGTCCACGCGTCGTCGCATTTCACACACGCCGCGCCCTCGTCGGATGTCGAAAACATCCTCCCAGGCCCGTGGGACTGCGTGAGATTTGCTCCGCGAACGGTCCGACTTCTCAGATCTCGCGCACATCCCAACGCACAGCGTGCGCCGACCAACGGTCCGATAGCACCCCCCGCCTGAAAAAAAAAACGCCTCCCAACGTCCCCTCGCGCCCGCGGGACTGCGGGAAATTCTGTTCGCGCCCGTTCGTCAATCCGCGGCACCTCCTCTGGCGGTTTCCAATGGGCCCAACCGCTGGCGTTACGGTGGGCCCGCTCCTTCTTTTATATGTGTAGAGATTACGGTGGGCCCGCTCCTTCTTTTATATGTGTAGAGATACATTTACTACATAGAATAATAAATAAAAAATGAAATGTGTGATGCCATACCACTGACCCACGGTCCTTGTCACCACACAGTTCCCTGCTGTCGGGATGGGCGCAGCCTCACGTGCTCGCAGGTGATATGGCTGCTACTAAGGATTCCCCTGATGGCAATAAGATCACCCTGTTAGGGGCTGAAAAGGCCACCCTGTCAGATAAGACAGAAGATTGAGGACTTACCTTGAATTTACCTGTTATTGTTGTTGTTGTTGTTGTTGTTGTTGTTGTTGTTGTTGTTGTTGTTGTTGTTGTTGTTTACCTGTTTTGCTGGTTAGTCCAATGATAATATCGCAAAGTCGTCGTCCTTTAAAAAAAAAAAAAAATGTTGTGTAGAAAGTTCAAAAGAAAACGGGTCGTAAGGGACGCCGGCTTTTATAAAGACATTATTCCGTTAATTAAAAAAAAAAAAACGAGGCAAAAGATTGCAAAGGAATCTGGGCTACCAGCCGAGCCACGCGGGTCACCTTATTTGACCAGGCGGCCCGGCTGTGCGAGGGGCCCACCAAAAAAAAAAAAAAAAAAGTTGAAAAACAAACAAAAAAAGAAAAAGCATCCAAAAAGTTGGCAAAAACACTGAAAAACTACTATGTGATGCACAAAAATAAACTGAGAAACTTTTGCCTGAGGATCACATGGAAATTATCTACCAATTTTGAAACAAAAAAATAAAATTTATCCTCAATAACGTGAAACAGAAGAGGGCAACAACAGATGAGAGGCTCTGACAAACTGTTTCGTCGGAGTTTCACCAACTGACTCATCTCAGAAGATCCGGACATACCGGCAGAATAAATAAGTAAATAAATAAATATTAAATAAATAAATAACATGGTAACCCCGGACCAGGACACCGGACACTTCCGGACTGTCTCCCGGACCAGTGTCTGGACCGGTCCAAACTGTCCGGTGATCCGGACATCACTGGACACCAGGACATCACCGGACCCGGACAGTCCGGACCGGTGCCCGGGGTGCAAACCTGTCCGGAAAAAGAAAAAGAAAAAAAAAAAAACGGGAGAGGGGGGGCTGTTGGCAGGCACTACTTACCTGCTTTGCACTTTGTAGTTCAGGCAGCAGAGCACGTGTCTTGCAGCAAATAAACAAGCACATTTAACTAGCAGACATGCAGAATTGCAAACAGTGCAAGGCAGGCACAAGACTAAAGAAACAGAGAAAAAGAAAATGAAATAAGTACGATAACTTTGAACTTTGAAATTTGAACTTTGGATTTAGTAATTTAAGTTCATAAATTCATAAATAACTTAAAAGTTTGAACTTTGCATTTCAATTCAGAACGTCAGAGTCTTCAGACTGGCAGCACTGTCAGTGCTCTCTCTCTCTCTCTCTCTCTCTCTCTCTCTCTCTCTCTCTCTCTCTCTCTCTCTCTCTCTCTCTCTCTCCCTGGGAGGGAGAGAGACCCCAGCCTTTTGGTCAAAGGCCAGAAAATTAATTGATTTGCAATAACTCAGCTCAAATCTGCATGGCCGAGGTCTAAGGGTTGCCACTTTTGGTCAAAGGCCAGAAATAGGGGTCAAGACTCAAACGCATGGTTAGGTTCTGGACGTCCGGACCGAGGTCCAGATAGTCCGGAGTATCATGTCCGCGCGGACGTACGGTCCAGAGGGTCGGGAAGGTGCCAAATCCAGAGGATTTTTTTTTTTTAAACGGGTCGACCTGGACCCTTTGTTGGGTCGAGGCCGACCCCAGAAAATTGTGTGGGGTAATTTTTCGACCCGTTGGGCCTCTGCAGACACGGCCGGACGCGCGCTTCTTAGGTTTATAATTTATTTTTTTCTCGTTCACTCTGCAGTCTTGGTGTGGCCTCGTTTTTTGGGGGAAACGGGGTCTGTTCGAATCGAAACTCCCCCCGCCCGCCATTCAGCCCGCTGGTATGCTTTCGAAACTCCCCCCCGCCCGCCATTCACCCCGCTGGAATGCGACGAGCTGTCGACGTCCTCGTTGCAGCGCTTCCCCCATTGCCGTCGTCGAGGCTGCTCCTGCCGTGTGCACGTGGTCGCCGTCATTGTCGCCATCAGACAGAGAGAGACAGACACACACACACACAGAGAGAGAGAGAGAGAGAGAGAGAGAGAGAGAGAGAGAGAGAGAGAGAGAGAGAGAGAGAGAGAGAGAGAGAGAGA